GATAACAATAATATTAACAAGACCAAAAACGTTAACAAAATTCTTTTCCTTTCTCCACCCTCCCTCTCTCTCTCTCTCTCTCTCTCTCCTCTCCCCCCCTCCCCCTCCCCCTCCCTCCCTCTCTCTCTCTCTCTCTCTCTCTCTCTCCTCTCTCTCTCTCTCTCTCCTCTTCTCTCTCTCTCTCTCTCTCTCTCTCTCCCTCCTCTCCTCCCTCCCTCTCCTCTCCCTCCCTCCCTCTCTCTCCCTCCTCCCTCCCCTCCCTCCCTCTCTCTCTCTCCCGCCCACATTTAGCAATAGACGGAAGACAGACGAGACAACACAGTTCCAGACGTTCTGGTGGTTGATCTCGCCGCCAACGATAGTGAGTCACCGTAGCTCGTTGTGTGACATTGCTCTTTACGAGTGGGTTAAAAAAAAAAAAAAGTGTTTAGAAAAAGTTATCAGCTGGGAGATAGGATGCTGGTCTTGTGAATGTGGATAGTTCTTTTTGGGTTATTTGTTGTAATAGAATGTAGGTTGTTGTGGTCATGATTGTGGTTATCGTTGTTGTTTTTGTTATCATCATTCTTGTCATTATTATTATCATTGTTGTTTATGTTATTATTATTTTTGTTATCATCAGTATCATTGCTACTGATGTTATTATTACCATTCTTGTCATTATCATCATCGTTGCTCTTTAAGTTATAATTATCATTCGTATCATTATTATTATTAATTGTTATTACCATCAGCATTATCCTTGTCATTATAATAATCATTACGATTATCATTATCATTAATGATAATATTGTTATTCTTGTTAATATTATCATTATATCATTATTACCATCATCATTATCATTACCAGTGTTACTACTGTTATTGTCATTTACACTATCACCATCATCACTGCATTCACTATCACAGTTATCAATATCATCAATCATATAATTCCATGGTTACACAGAACACTACTAATGATAAACACACAAAATCAAAAGGACAATAGTGACATAGGAAGTGCGAGAACTGACAATGTTGATAAAGCGAATTATAATAACATTAAAAATAAAACAATATAGTAATAACCAATACGAGGGTTAATCAATTACACGAAAGCGTTGAGGATATCAAAATGACATTGACAGAAACGGGATACGGAATAAATATTTTGACAGTTTATAACGAATTGAGACATATAATAAGCAATTAAGAGCTCTAAAAAAAAAAAGATTATTGAGACAATTTAGTTACAATTGGTCATTGTATTAACAAAGCTGGTAACTTTCATTGATCATATAGTGATAGTGTTATTAATAATGATAATAATAACAATAATAACAAGAATTGTGATAATGATAATAATATGATGATGAAAACAATGATAATAATAATGATGATAACAATGATATGATGATAATAATAATAATGATAACAATGATATTGATGATAATAATAACAATAATCATTCTTACTGTAACGATAACGATAATAATAATAATAATGATAATAATAATGATGGTAATGATAGTAATTATAATACCTATACTAATAAAGATAACAAAAGATACAATAATAATACTAGCGGTAAAAAGAAGAATGATAATAATAATAATGATAATAGGAATAAGATGAAAATCCTAATGGTATTAGCAACAACAAATAAAATAATACTGTGATAAGGATAATGATAAGAAAATTCATTCATAATCTAATATTGCTTTTATTACTATATCGTATTCATAATCTTTAATATTATCTTCTTCATCATCATCTTCATCATTATTATTATCAGCATCATTATTCGTTATTATTATCATTTTGTTATAATTATCATTTATGTTATCATTATCAACATGATCATTATCATCATTATCGTTATTGCTATAAAAATCATTATGATAATTATTAATCAATATCACTTTTGATATTTTCCTTCCATTATCATCATTACCATTATCTCTTTTGTCATATCTTATGATCATTATTATCAATAATGTGTTTATGGTAATTATTATTATTACTATTACCAATATTATTACTGTCATTATTACCATCAATATCATATTGAAAACGGCAATATCAACATGATGATGATGATATGAAAAATCATAAGAGCGGTGGTGACGATAACATAAAAGATAAAACTGATATTATTATCACCGTAGAGAAAGTAAAAACAAAACCACCAAAGTGATCGTGATGTCTTATCTATAAACATATATTTTCCAGTTTCACTTTTAAATCGTGAAAAGTATATTCCACGATTTGAATTCAACATTCGAGAGAGAAAAAATGGTTCTCAAAAAAAAAAAAAAAAAAAAAAAAAAAAAAAAACAATAAACAATTTTTCCGTCACATTAAAATCCTTTATCCATATTCACACTGCACTGACGTTATAAACATTTACACAAATATACGTTATCACTCAAAGGAACATAATCGGAACTAAATAAACTGAGAGATACCGATGTGTACTGCGCGGAGTCCGAATAGTGAGTGAGCGCGGGCCTAAAAC